TTGACAGAATTTTGATAGAAATATTTTGACATTTTATATCACATAGAACTCTTAATTATTCAGGAAATAATCTAGCCGTATACCAGTCGACCTATAAATTTAAATGGATTAAACTATCCAAATATTTTTTGCATGATTTTGCTTTTTGGCAAATAGTTTCATGCACAATAACTGGTGATGAGCGGGATATTTCCGGGTGCAATTTCCAGAATTGTCATTTTTGGCATTGAGACCAGCTTTTCCATTTAAAACGAAATCTGTCAAAGTGTATATTTTTTGACAAACGCAATTTAAATGGGGAAGATCAAAAAACAATCATTATCACAGAACACATCACCATAATTAAAATATGCAACACAACGTATAAACTTCAAACTCGGGAAATTTCCTACCAAAATATAACACGTGCATGAAATATCTCCTAAGGGAATTTTTTTAAAATTTCGTCTTTAGCCAATTTTTTCAAACAAAACCATTCGTGCGTAGCGCCGCTTTAGACAAAATTTACAAAAATTTCCGGAAATATTTTATGCACTAGTTATATTACTACTGGAAATTCAACGTTGTCTAGGCAACGTGAAATTATCACCTATAATAGTACATTAAAATACAAGTTTCATAAGACGTCATTTTATCGCACGAGCCCTATATTAGAAAACGAGCCGGAGGCGAGTTTTCTAAAGGGCGAGTGCGATAAAATGTCTTATGAAACGAATATTTTATACTATTTTTTCTATTTTGATATTGTTTAATTAAGAAAAAAAAATTTTTCTTGAACATTTTATTCTCATATTTCCTGATTTCATATGTTTAGGTTGGTAACACTTCTTGCCAAATATAGAAATCTTCTATTATAAAATCGCGAATGACAGTTCGATGGCCATCAGTCAGCCAGTGTTACCAACGTTCGATAAGTAAAAAAGGAGTGTCACAAAGAGCTTCTTTTCGAAACTACTTTTAGTGTCGAAAAGACTTCAATATGACACCAAAATAGAAAAAAGTCAATTTAACATTTTGACGACACAAAAAAATTAATGTTTGTATTGTAAATTAGAGACGGGAATCAATAGTAACCATAAAAACAGAAGTAGGGGAGACTGGGGGACATTTGAACAAGGGGTAGATTTGAACATCTGATTTTACTTCCAACAGGTTCCCATTTTAAAATAAATAATTACTTGTACCAGTGGCAACACTGCTCCACCACATATGACCCTATGCTAGGTTGCCTCCAGATATTATTTTAGCTTTCCAGAATATTGTAATGAATTTGAGCACATGTGCTGAAATTTTCACAAAACAGAAATTGTCTTGTAGTTTTATAAATAATAAAAAAAAGTGAATTAGTGTCATACCATTTGAAAGAGGTAAGTGTCAGCTTCTTAATAGTTTTGTTGCTTTTGATGGTTTTATTCTCTGGTCACGAAAAAATATTAGGTTAAGCAAAAAAAGTATGTTGGGGCACATTTGAACAAAACATCGGGGGCACATTTGAACACTATGCAGTTAACTTTTTACTCAAAAATGCATGTGTTTTAGGGGATATTTCAAGGTAGATGTTATTTTCAGGTGCAAAATGGTTCGTAACTACAAAAGAAAAAAAACAGAGCCTGTTTACAGCGAACAGGACGTAGAAGCCGCAATTAGGGCTGTCCGTGATCAGAATATGACACTGCGTGAAGCAGCTACACATTATGGTATGTCACAAACAGCTCTATTTTACCGCCTAAAGAAGATAAAGGTTAACGACGAGGGAACGGTTACTTCTTCGGTTAAACACAATTTCCATTCCAAATTCTCCAGCCAACAAGTATTTTCCAAAGAACAAGAATTAGCATTAGTTGAATATGCTATTAATTCATCAAAAATGTGCTATGGTCTTACCTACAAACAGATGAGAGTTCTTGCTTACGACTATGCAGCAAAATTGAATTTAAAAATGCCGAACAGTTGGATTGAAAAACAGTTAGCTGGAGAAGACTGGCTTTACAGCTTTATGCAACGACATCGAAATCTTAGTATTCGCAAATCTGAAAATACCTCACTCTCGCGTTTGACTTCATTTAACAAAACAAATGTGGAAGTATTTTTGACAACTACGAAAGGGCCCTTAAATCTAAAAATTTTACAGCATGTCAAATATTCAATCTTGATGAGACTGGCATGGCCACAGTCCTACAAGCACCAAAGCAAGTCGGTCAGGCAGTTTCGGCAGAAAGGGGACAGTCAATTACATTGTGCATGATTATTAATGCTGCTGGAAATGCTTTGCCTCCAGTATTTATTTATCCCCGTGCAAGGGTTAATCAATCATTGATTGAGGATGGCCCACCTAATAGTATCGTTTTGGCTAACAGCCCGGGAAGCCACTGGATGACCCGTGTTCTTTTTATAGAAGTTCTTAAACATATCGTTAACCAGGCGAAGTGCAGTGTAATTAATCCAATACTTCTTCTAATGGATAATCATGAGAGCCACTGCTCTCTCGAAGCAGTCAACTATGCCCGGGAAAACGGCATAACACTTGTTACGTTTCCGCCTCACTGCTCCCACAAACTACAACCGCTTGATGTGGGTGTGCTGGGACCTTTCAAGGCTAAGACAAAAGTAGCCCAAAACGACTGGTTAACCAGCCATCCTGGCAAAACCATATCCATTCATAATCTTCCGTCCATAATTAACACTGCGTTTAACTCAACGTTTACAAGAACAAACATTATTTCTGCATTCACTAAGCCAGGACTGTGGCCACTTAATCGGCTCGCTTTTGAAGATGAGGACTTCATGAGCGCTGCAGTAACCGATAGGCCAATTCAAGCTGGAATATTAGACGGGTCTAGTGCATCCCATGGTTTAAACAATTCAAGCCCTGTACCTGGATGCAGTAAAGACAGTGATACCCCCTCGAATGATGCTGGTTCTAAGCCTACATTAGTATTGGTTTCCCCAGAGAGTGTCCGCCCTTATCCAAAGGCTGCGCCTCGATCTGATTTAGCCAGAGGAAGGAAAAAAGGCAAATCACGCATTTTAACAGAAACTCCTGAAAAGACAAGATTAGAAGAGGAAAAAATGGAACGAGAATCTAAAAAAAACAAATCTATGAAGCAAACCCTACAAAAAATTGATAATGTTAAAAAAAATGTTTTCAAAGCCTTGTGTGAAGATGAGTCTGATGAATCTATCTCCGAGGCTGACATGTCTCTCCAAGATGACTCGTCAGATGAAATGGAAACATTCAGTGACCTAGAAAATCAAGAACCAGATACCACTGATCTAAAATTGAATGATTTTATTCTCGTTTCATTTAATACGAAAAAATCTCAGTTATTGTTTGTTGGCCAGATTGAACACATTTTCAAATCTGGTTCCTACACAGTACACAGTTAAATTTATGAAGAGAAAAGAGGGTACATGGAAATTTCACTTCCCTGAAAAAGATGACATTAGTGAAGTAGAGAGAGAAGACATCAGGTTGAAACTCCCAGCACCAGATATCTCGGGAGGAACTGCTAGGGCAGCATATATATTATCCTTTGCTTTCGACTTCACCACTTTTAAGGAGAAAATAATGTGAATGTATTTAAAGATTATTTATTTTTGAAGCATAGGGGATATTTTTTTTAAGGTATAAGGCCAGGAGATGCATTTTTTAATTTTGTTCAAAACTGCCCCTTAGATGTTCAAATGTACCCCAATTGAGGGGTACATTTGAACAAATGCTCAACCGCCAAAAATTTTAAAAAATCTAAGTTATTTTTTGCTTTTTTTTTGGGTGATACTGTCTTTTGGTTGCCAATAAATGTTACCATTCATCAAATCTAAAGAAAATCAATAAAAATAATAAATGGTAATTTTATCAAGGAGTGAGTAGTTTTTGTTCAAATGTACCCCTGTCTCCCCTATTTGGTGTATTTGTCGAAAGCAAAAACCATTAAAAATCAAAATGAATCGGTTTAGTGAAGTGAAAGATGAGGAAATCGACGAAAGTATAGTGAAAGTTGAACCAAAAAAATACGGTGAAATCTAAAAACAGTATTTGGAGGCAGTTTATGTCGTTTTGCGGCGGAAAAAAGTACAGTTTTAATCAAGATACTCCAATATCCGAACTTGCATCTATCCTGAAAAGCTGGGCCTTTAATATAAGAAAAAGGAACGGAGAAAAATATAAAGAGCATTACACTAAAAGTTCTCTAGAATGTTACCGCAAAATTGCTCATGGAAATAGTATTTTAACGACTTTAACAAATTTAAATCTAATTATATTCCATAATTTTGAATGAAATTCGTGAAATATTGTCCCTAAATACCATTCGTGCTTAAAAATTAACCAGATAATTTTCATTCAAGCTTGTTGTACAAATTTCACTCGTTCTTCAAACTCGTGGAGTTAACACAACAAGCTTTCATGAAAATGATCGGTAATTTTTAAGCACTCGTAGTATTACCCCCGATAATTCTCCCATGTTATTGTATACATGGTTGTCATTCAAGGTTATATGTAAACACAATAGGCTGGAACACGCTAACGCACTATAAATGATCGGCCGCGATAATGCGGCAAGGGAGCCGGCTGCTAGGGTTTTGTAGCTTTGAATCGTCGACAGAAAGGATACTTATGGCCATTTGCACGACTATCACTTAAGGGATATTTGATCTAAGTGGAGCTTTGAATGTGACTTTTGTTTCTACAAGAGTCACATTCAAAGCTCTACTTGCAATAAATATCCGTATTACGCATCTGTATTTAGGTGATCTGTAATATGGGGTCGAGTGATACCTCTTTTAAATGAGCGTTCAATTCTCACTCATTTGATGTCATTATGGTTCAAACACTCACACAATCAAATTATGTGTACAAGCGTTTTTAAAAAAAATAAAAGTTACATCAGATATTTAACCTATTTCGTTATTTCAAATGGTATACCCTGTATATTTGTGGAAATCAAGCCAGTTAGGAATTCGTAAATGTATATCCAGGATTAAAAAAAAAAACATCAAAATATCACAAATAAATTATTTATTCAAAAGTGCTCCATACAAAATATCAGACTTTACACCTAATGTTCTATCACAAATCATCGACATAATCCTTATCCAAACTGAAATCCAAAATTTCATCTGCTGTCAAAAATCGGACATCACTCTGACTGTCTCCTTGACCCGATCGAATTCTTTGATTCCTGCATTGAACAAATCTCAGCTTAACTAGAGCTACTCCTGTTAAGATACCAAATAAGGCCACTCCACATATAGATGCTATCACAACAAAAGTCAATTTCAAATTCGATGGGTGGTCTTCATCAATTTGACTGAACTCGGTTTTAATCTCACCTACATTTTCAGAGTTATTGATGATTTTGATGGGATAGTCTTTTTCCACATTTGAAATTTTTTCCACTGACTCTTCCTTATCTTGTAAACTCTCATTTATGTCATTGCTATCTTCTTCAGATGATATGTCGTATTTTTTAGGTAGAGCAATATCATCATTGTATGACTGTTTGGGTGTAGTAGTTTTAGGTTTGACAAAAACGATTTTGGATGAGTTCTTGCTTTGCGGAAATTTTGGAATGATTTTCTGAACAACTTCTGGAGTGGTACTGGGTTTCAGAAAAATTAAAGGTTTAGTAGAAACGGGGTTAATTATTTTGGGTTTTGGATTTGTCGTAGGTTTTTTTGTTGTAGTTGTAGACTGAGTAAGTTTTAGTGTTGATTTTGTGGTAGATGTAAGTTTTAGTGTTGATTTCATGGTGGGTATAATTTTTATTGTAGATGTCGGTCTTGTGGTTGATTTTTTTGTAGGAACAACAACTTTAGCAGTTTTATTGGTGATAATATTTTGTGTAGTGTTCAAGGGTTCTTCTGAAATTATTTCAGTTGTGGTGCTCCAATCAGTATCTGTAGAGCCTAAAAAATTAAATTATTTATTACAGATACATATAATGAAAATATTTTTTATATTACCGCTAAGGCAAAAATCCACATAATCCGGACAACACTGGCTAGTTTCGTAGCAAAATTCATCACAATCGCAATTAATTACCTGCGAATCATTATGAAATGCTTTTAAACCACAGCGGTTTTCACAGGATTCGATTGATTTGAAAGTTTCACTAACAGGTGCTGAAGGTTCACTAAAAATCAACAAATTAAAAATTATGTAGTTATTTAGCAGACCTAGTTGTGATGAGCAAATGTGGATAAAAAGAAAGTGTCAAGTATATGTACAAAATTTTATCTAGGACTGATTAAATACAGAAATCATGATTCCTTGTTTTTGGGACCAAGCCTTATGGAGTACAAAAAATATTATAAATGACTTACGTAGAAAACAACAGATAATCATCATAATTACAATTTGGGATAATATTCACGTCGTCTATAGCAGTGTCACTAACGTAACCATTTCCCCGAATACCTTCCATAATTATCTACAAATAAATTTTAGTGGAATTGGGTGCAGTTGGTAAAGGACAGTGCATAGATTGGTAGGTAACAGTACCGTTTACTAAACCTATACATTGTGAAGCACGGACGAAAAACTTCTTTTTTTTTAAAGTAACTAATTAAAAGACAGTGACTGCTTACTTGAAAATTTTCCGTTAATACGCCTAAATCAACGAAGGCTCTATACCAAACATTTCCTTGATCTCCACTTTTAGTAAATAGCGCACTTCCTGGATTTAAAGGCCACAAATCAGATACTTTCTTTATATAGGCTTTTAGGGTACCTAGAAAAAACACAATTTTTTCAAAACTTGGAATCAAGTACCTACTTTCACAAAGTTCCTACCTGTACTTCTTCCATACATATGATACCAAAATTCCAAACAGGTACTGCTATTCGTAGCCTCAAAAATGGGCGATATTAAACGAGCAGTATCGTTTATCCTTCTCGAAGACGACTCAATGTACATGTAATATCCACCCGAGCCGTTTCCTTTCGTATGATCAAAACTGGGGCCTGTGGGCATAGAATATCCTGTAGGAGTTCTATAGCTGTCTCTTTGCCAATCCATGTCATGGTTCAAATCGTGTGACCAATGACAGATGTTTTCATCTTCAAAGTCGCAAAATAGACTAGGTTGTTCATCGGAAGCTGGATTTGTCCGTGCAAAAACATAAAAAATAAGTGATGATATTTTAAAGCAAAACTTTCAATTTACATGTCTTGAGATTTTAAGAGGGAGACATTTTTCTAGTTATCTTCTGAAGTCATCCCTTTAACAATTTAGAGGGAATCAGAGGTCTTAGATCTTATCATCTTGAATATAGCTCGTAAGTTTGTAGTAGTAATTATCATTCCTGACCAATAAGACGATGGATGATGCAGTTCTTACTATTTTCGTTTTTTTCTTTTTTTGAATTTGTCCCAGTTTTTACTTTATTCAGCTAACCAAATTTTCAAATAGAACTCATGATAGTCGTAGGTCTAGTCACAGATAGATGAATATTAGGTTCGAAAGCAAATCCATTTTCGACTATTGGACGAATACAAAAAGTATCGAGATTTCAAAGAACAATACTGTGGGTGCACTTCCAGCCTTGTCAGGGAATTTTTGTGAAACTTTATTGAAACTGTACTATCCTTGTACTATTGTCTATCAGGTACAGAATAAAAAGATAATCGTTACAATTCAGTTTCTTATCAAGGGGCTTAAAACAAGGGTCATTTAGGAAGTTGATAAAGTTTGTATGAAAACACAGCAAAACATCAAAATGTTTCTTTATCGCTGGCATTAATATAAACAGAGTTCTTTGAAGAATACCTAATTTTCTATTTTTTCTGAGTTTTACTAAGAGACCTACAAATTATTTTTCAAAGCCTCCGTTCAAAAAATTCCTTGTAACGAAGTTTTTCTTTCATTGTTAAGTAGTTCCTGTCATGTAGTGGCAACACTGCTTAGAAGCGCACAAGCGCGGCCTGAGACTGAACTAAGCAGTCGGTAATTACGAGTCTTTAGATTTAGATGTTCCTGTTCGCGTGCCTCCCTTTAAACCAAAGAATTTCATATTAAACAAAATAAATCTTATCAATCAGTTAATCAATCATCTTTTATTACAAAACGTAACAGTTCCAACGTATAAAATTTTTGGAGTTCTCATCATAAATGGCTTTCAAGTATCCACAAGGCCTACTTTAATGGTTAAACCTCCATATTTTTCAGACATAATATCCAAATGGGTGAAATCATCTAAAGGATGGCACTAACAAAAAAAACTCAGCTTATCATCAATCATCATTCGAAAAAAACATTCAACATTCCTCTTTTTCTCAAACCAAAACTTTTTTGCATTTTGCCAGCTGTCACCTACGGAGCCGAGAACGAAAAATCAGCCAAAAAGAATAAAACTTATGGATCTCGAGTTAGAGATGCTGTTGAGAAAAAATCTTGTCCGAAGAAGAATGGAGATAGTCATGTGGCTGGAATGAGTGATGGAAGGTGTCCTGGATCCATTCTGGATAGGAAACCACGAAGGAAGGGCGCAACAAGGAAGCAAGGGTCCGTCGACCTTCCACTAAATAGCGAAGTGGGTCTAAAGCTCTACAAAAATGGCTGGATACCAGGCACAAAACATGAAAAACGCGATTGAGTTACCTATGTCAGCAGTGGACAAACAAGGCTGTTTGATCAGTGGTTTGATGATGATGAACATGATGTAGATGTTATTGATGATCAAATTTTTTTCAAATTATATTAAATCACAATTGATTTCTTCATAGAAAAAAAATAAACCTGGGTGTCCACCGGGAACCAAATCGATCTATACAGGGTTGAGGATTATGTATGAACGGCCTAATATTTCTGAACCCGCTTAAGAATAATGTACAGGGTGTTTTTTATATATTGACACCCCACCTACAGCTTTTACCTATACAGGTAGAAGAAAGGTGTAAATAGAGAAGTTGTACAAGGTGGGCATTTTATTAGGGGCCTATGTCTTTTCTTAGAAACTACAGGGTGTATAAAAAAAATATAAATACAAAAGTTTCTTGGTTTTAAGTAATGTTATCAATTATTTGAGTTTTATTTATAACCAGAATTTTAAATGGAACACCTTGTATATTTTTACATTTTTGGATTCCTGGAGAAAAATAAAGGTTACTTTCATAAGGACTCCCTATTCAAATTTTGTGTAATTTAGGCAAAAATTGAGGTTATGTATTTTTTTTTAGCAAAGGACCCGGCAATATTTAGATGGAAATTGGTTACCCGTGATATTTGGATGAAATTTAAATATGTTATTGGGAATGCCGGAAGCAACATTTTTTACCATGGGCACAACCCTGTATATATGACACGTGAGGCGTGGTTAGCTGTCAAATATTGGAATCTTATATCCAAAAGCAGAGTAACTATGGCAGATTTTGATGAACAAAAAATTTATTTCTACTAAGTTGACCAAGTTAAGTCGAAAAATGTCAACCGTTTTGACATCTGTCAAAACCCTGCCAAACGGCACCACTCATCTTTTCCAGTTTTCAATATTTCATGATGTCATCTGACATTGTTAACTTGTATGTAAATTCTGAATTCAAAAATTGAAAAAAAAAATGACAGAACTGTCAAAACCTGTCATTTGTTTTAGTAGAAAAAAAAAACTCTAATTTGGTTCTTTCTCGATTTAAGGTAGTTTATTGGTGATAAAACATTGAACAAAGTTCATGCACGTCACATTTTGACAGCTGTCAGAATCGGTCAATAGCTTTAAGTCAAAAAAGAATCAAATCTAGTTCTTTTCCAATTTAAGTTGGGTTTTTTTTATGATAACGCATGAAAAAACATTACACGCAGGTTTCAGATTTTGACAGAGATGTCAATTTTCATTTTAAAATACGTAGTTTTGGTATATAAGATTTTATATACCGGCGATTTTTTTTTAGTACTTTAATGAAATCATTATAATACTTAGTACTTAAATGAAATCATTAAAGTACTCAAACATTTTGGCACTTACAAATGAAATCTACAATGATGTCATTTTGACAGTTCTGTCATTTTTTTTTTTTCAATTTTCGAATTCAGAATTTACATACAAGTTAAAAATGACAAATAATTTAACATCATAAAATATTGAAAATTGGGAAAGATGAATGCTGCCGTTTGGCAGGGTTTTGACAGATGTCAAAATGGTTGACATTTTTCGGCTTAACTTGGTCGACTTAGTAGAAATAGATTTTTTGTTAATCAGTTATGGAAAAGTTTTAGTACTAGTAAGTCCTGATATTCATGTCTCTGTTAAATAGTGTAATCTATAATATAATCCTCGTTCAATATGAATATAGGTATAGACAAATAAAAAATAAAGAAAAATGATGCCCCATTTGCATGTAAAGTTCCTAAAAATGATCCATAATTTACATCACGACAAATATTGAATGCTAAATCAATATTTAAACAATAATGTATTGGTTTTATATATATTTTTTTTTTTAGTATTTTAAATTATATTATTTCATTATATTTGGTTGGGGTGTTTAGAAAATTAAATAAAACTTTTTTTTAAATTTAAACATTTGTTTATGATATGTATTATGATCCTTTAATAAAGTGTGTGTCTAATGCTATAAACTATTTAGAGGCCGTTTACACTACATGCATAGCTCAAAATGGAGGACATATTGGAAACTTACTTTAGTCTGTTATTTAGCTTTAATTTAGGTGTTGATGTATTTTTTTTAAAGATTATTCTTTGAAATTATATATTAAAATATATCGATGAAGTAAGTGGTTTAAATATTTCGTGAACTATTAGATTTAGGTATAGGACATATATATATATGAATGGATAGGTATTTTTAGCCTTTTTAACTAAAAAAAATCAAATATAGGGTGTTCCATTAAAAAAAACTTGGATATTGAAAATTGAAAATTGAAAAAAATGTCCTATGATCTGAGACACCCTGTATAAATTTAAAGCACCTAGACATCGTAGATCGTTGGAAGGTAGTCTTCGTAAGGTGTGGTTGAAATTTTATTAAATAATCTCAATTACCAGCCGCACAAGACACTATTTGCTGAGGGAATAAAGGATTTTGCCCATTTTTTGATATGTTGTAGAGGATTTAATTCTGAACAACCTTTAAATGGGACGAAATCTTGTAGGTACTATGGTCTTTGAGATACGAGCGTTGAAAGAGGAACTTTTTTGCGACTTTTTGTGTGAAGAGTATACGAGATACTGGTGCTACTGGTGTTTATCAGTCAAAATATTGACAGGTTCACATATTTTATGTCACTCACAAATTAATATCAACATAGGTTAAGGCCAGGAACGCACTGGGGTCAATGTTGGTGCTAGTGCAGTCCCGGCCTTAGTCTATGTTGACATTTGTTAGTGACGTGAAATATGTCGACCTGTCAATATTTTGACTGATAGACACCAGTTTTTCGTATACTCTCCACACAAAAAGTCGCAAAAAAGTTCATCTTTCAACGCTCATATCTCAAAGACCGTAATACCCACAAGACTTCGTCCCATTTAAAGGTTGTTAAGAATTAAATCCTCTACAACATATCAAAAAATGGGCAAAATCCATAGAGCCCAAAAAACCCATGTTAGGTGTGCGTTATCCTTTGCTAAAAAAAATACATAACCTCAATTTCTGCCTAAATTACACAAAATTCGAAAAGGTAGTCCTTATGAAAGTTACCTTTATTTTTCTCCGGGAATCCAAAAATGTAAAAATATACAAGGGGTCCCATTTAAAATACTGGTTTTGAAGTCGGTGCAGCACTTTTGGGACACCCTGTATAAATAAAACTCAAATAATTGACAACATTGCTTAAAACCAAGAAACTTTTGTATTCATATTTTTTTGTACACCCTGTAGTTTCTGAGAAAAGGCATAGGCCCCTAATAAAATGCCCACCCTGTACGGGTGAGTCATTTTGGGTGGGAATGCCGGGTACATCCTAAACGGTAATAGATACAAAAAATCTAATAAACGTGTCGCGATCTATTTTTCTGAGTATAGTTCAATGGACCACTCAGAATTACTCGGACTTCTTTTGTTTTCGATATACAGGGGTTTTTTGGAAAATAGCTGATTTCTGTTTTCCTCTGTATCTTAGTTATTATCAAAAATTTTAAAAA